GAGTAGACTAACTCATTTATTTCTACTCATTTATTGATGGCCTTTCATAACCGAGTTATTAAGTCATCAATAACTTCAGAAAAATAAATGAATGGATCCAGAACTGGGCCAACAGATATTTAAGATACCCACTGAAAATTTTATCTATGATCAGCAGAAAAGTCAATGCTGGGTCATCAGTGGCATTTCCCTCACCTGGGAAAATATGGTCTATGTTTTATTCTAATTAGAACCCAGTCAATTTCTTTACAAACTAGTAAAATAAATAACATCTCCAATCTCTCAAGTAAAATAAAGTTGAAAAAAATTTACATTTGTTAACATTTTCCAAAGTGCTACCTAATATGTGCTGCTCTTATCAACTGTCAAAAAAATATCTCTGAAAGTCTTGCCAGAAATAGAGTATAAGATATTTCACTAGTGCTTGTGAGTTCTAGTATATTCCCCTCAGGAAATAAAATAAAAAGGATAGGGAAGGAGGAAAGAAAGCCAGAAAAGGTTTTTCTAAGACCTTGAAAAACCCTTGAAACCAGTATCTAGGAGTCTAGAGAAATTCCTAACAATGATGTTAAGTTTCTACAGGGACACTTTCAAAGCCTTCAGCACTTTACCCAGCTGATGGGAGCCATGCATTTTCATTATGTTTGGGGATGTAGGTAGCAGCTCTGTCTTAACTTACATGATCACCCCAGAATCCTGACCTCATCGCCCTATTCAAATATTCTTTTTTGTTTTTTAATGTTTATTTATTTTTGAGAGACAGAGGGACAGAGTGCAAGCCGGAAGGGGCAGAGAGAGAGGGAGACACAGAATCTGAAGCAGGCTCTAGGCTCTGAGCTGTCAGCACGGAGCCTGATGCAGGACTCGAACCTACAAATTGTGAAATCATGACCTGAGCCAAAGTCAGATGCTTAACTGACTGAGCCACCCAGGTGCCCCCCATTCAAATATTCTTTTGCCCTAGTTTACTCCCCACTTATAACTTGGGGCCTCACCTGGATGAGAGGAATCTTGGCTGTTGAGAGGTCCCAAGTGTGTTTGGAAGCCTCTCTGTGCCCCAGTTGCCTCAGTTTCCTCATCAGTAGAATAGGAATGATAATAGAACATACTTCAGCTGCTATAATAATTAAAAGAGTTAATCTATGAAGAGCACTTAGAATACTGTCTGGCACATGGTAAGTTTTCAAGAAGTATCAGCTGTGATTGTTGTTGTTGTCATTTATATATAAATATAATATTTTCCATATGATTAGGACCTTGGAGACCAGCCAATCCAATTTCTTCAATTAGTTTTTCAGGCTAGGAAACTGCAGCCCAATAACTCATTTAATGTTTGTACTTTCTAAAGCTTAAAGACTAAGTGAGATACTGGCAAAAAGAACATCACCTTTGGAGTCCAGCAGTCCTACAATCAAATTCCAGATCTGTTGCTTGCACTTGCTGTGTGACTTTGGGCTCATCTCTTCCCTTCTCTGGGCTTCTCTAGGTCCTCACCTATACAATAGGTGTAAACACAACTACCCTGATAGATAGAGTGTTTTGAAAGCTGAAAACTAATGACTAAAAAAAAAGTTAATGACTGAATAATGGGACTAGCATGCTGCCAAGGAATTAATGAGCATTCAGTGTCGTTGTTGCAAACGTCATTCAGTGGGACTGCTGCAGAGAGGGTGCTAGAGGCTGGGAGAGCTCACCACCACACAGACCACCTATACTTAAAAACGAACAGTCAAACCCAAACTGTGATTTGCTTACACTAATTTCTATCAGTTTTCTTCCATGACTATCTTGTCATCAGTAGATGTTAGAGCTAACAAAAATTTCCTGTGCCTGCCGATGGATAAGATTTTGTAAGTCCTTTATTGTTCTTAAAGAAAAGGAAAATGGAGAGATAGACAGACAGATAGACAACTCTCTACTGTTGGCCCCCAATTTTTCTAACTAGTTTGCTTTAGGGTGAGTAGTTTTACTCTGCCAGCTGAACTCCAAAAGCTGTGCCTGTTGGAGAAATGGTGACTCAGAAACAGATTGCAGATGTTACAAAATAATAAAGAAAACACTATGTGCAGCTGTGATTTTGCAAATCTGACACCTTTGTTGAGATAGAAACGGCTATAGAAAGACTCAGGGGAAGGACAGAAATTAAATTGACATTGGTTTCCTTTTGAGGGGGATATGATGAATAAAGTCTAACTCTAGATAACAAGGCATGGAACTCAGGTTTATAAGAAAACAGATTTTTTGGGGCGCCTGGGTGGCGCAGTCGGTTAAGCGTCCGACTTCAGCCAGGTCACGATCTCGCGGTCCGTGGGTTCGAGCCCCGCGTCGGGCTCTGGGCTGATGGCTCAGAGCCTGGAGCCTGTTTCCGATTCTGTGTCTCCCTCTCTCTCTGCCCCTCCCCCGTTCATGCTGTGTCTCTCTCTGTCCCAAAAATAAATAAATGTTGAAAAAAAAATTAAAAAAAAAAAAAAAGAAAACAGATTTTTTAAACCTAATGTCCCTGAAAAGGTCATAGATGTCTCACCGTGGGGCTTGGGAATGATGAATGGGTTCTACGGTTCCAAGTTTGAGAAACACTTCCCTCTTGAAGATTTTACAATGCTCATTTATAAATGAAAGCCTCTGAGAAGTCCGTATATAAGAGACCTTTCCAACACTATCAGACCTGTCTTTTCCTAAACAATTAACATAAAATTTCCATCAGCACCATGTAGGACAGTGGCATTCTAGGGAACACCATTCAAGAATTTATACAAGGTTTGCTGCCAGATTGGGTTTTAATTATATTGTGAGTCTCTGCTTCAACCATTTTAGACAAAAGATATGAACTAGAAATGGACCACGTTTTGCTTTCTTGTATTCCCATTTTATTTGTGGGGGTGGAACTATAGCATCTGCTGCTACACATGTTTCAGAGAGCAGAACACAGCTCTTTATCATTCACTATCAGTGGAACTGTCTGGGAATGGGGAAAAAGTAAATAAAATAAATGAAAGCAAATCTACTTGGGTTCATCTATGGGCTGGCTTTGGAACAGCCCGTGGGTTGCAATTGTCTTCCACACATCATCATTTCTTGAGAATGTTCACATCGTTACTGGACTGTGAACAAATGTTACAATTTGGGGATTAAAACTGTGGGTCCAAACAAAGCAATGGAACAAAGCAATAAAGTCCATGTCAAGATATATAAATGCTTTTATTGATGGAGAAAGTTACAACAGATTGAAGCCTAGAAATAAATCTCTTTTCTTAATATGCAAAATCGGATACACAAAAGCAGTAAAAATGCCACTGAATCTCCTTCCTACCACACTGCAATATTCATTATCATCTGTCTCTAAGGTTCACATTTTTTACCTTCTTTCCTTTTTCTCACACTTCATCCTCTAGTCTCACATAAACACCCATCAAATGCTTTTCTCTTTTTTTTTTCTTTTTTGTTGTTTAGTTTTTATTTCATAATCATAAACTTACCTCTGCAATTGAGCTAGACTTGGAGGAGAGTAAGGAAAGTATGGAACTCATGAACTTCAGTGAGAGCACAAAGGTTATAGGATATTTTGAGCAAATGGGGGTAAAGGGGGGCCCTCCTGAGCCTCAGAAGGAAGAGTCTGGTAATTAAGATAAAACACAAGTCAAATTTATTTGTCCATAGTCAGCAATGGTGATCTTGCTGGTCTTGCTGTTCCTGAACCCAAAGCAATCCAGACTTCCACAATATTCATGCCTTCTTTCACTTTGCCAAAGACCACATGCCAAACATCCAACCACTCAGTCTTGGCAGTGCAGATGAAAAACTGGAAACTGTTTGTGTTGGGTCCAGCATTTGCCATGGACAAAATGCCAGGACCCATGTGCTTCAGGATGAAATTCTCATCATCAAATTTCTCCCCATAGATGGACTTGCCATTATGGATTATGAAGTCAGGTCACCTGGCACATAAATCCTGAAAGAATCCTGTAGAAGCAGGAACATTTATAACCAAATCCTTTCTCCCTAATTCCTTTCTCCCCAGAGCATGCAAGTTTTCTACTGTCTTTGGAACTTGGTCTGTAAACAACTAGAAGGAGATGCTAATGTTGACGGCAATGTCGAAGAACCTGGTGGGGTTGACCATGGCTGTCTGAAAGGCCAAATGCTTTCCCTTTTTAATTCCTTATCTTCTTCCCTCCCACTTTGACCATTTTGAAAAAAAAAATAGACAAGCACATTCGATTATTACAGCCTTTCTATAAGGAATATGTACTTCAAAACTCTTAAAATCAAAATAGAAAGATATCAAAAATTAACCATAGCATTTGGTAATGATCAAAAAGAAAATGAATGAAAACTAGCTTAACAATTACTAGATTGTTATCATCCCTTTAGACTTGACCTTTTGGTAAGTCATAAATAAATACCATCCAAATTTGACAGAAGTAAACTGGAAAAATCACACAACAGCAATCTGACAGAAATATCACTTTTATTGATGTCAAAAAAGTGGCATTTCTTAGATGTTTAATAAAGTAGGGATTACGAGGAAAAGTAAATGTTGAATTGTGCCACAAGAGTCTCATCCACATGGCAAGATCTATGAGCTCATTTGCTTGGCAGCTGTTTCACCATTTAGATAAAAACGCCTACAGCCCAAGGGCCCCTGGGTGGCTCAGTTGGTTGAGTATCTGACTTCAGCTCAGGTCATGATCTCACATTCCTGTGTTCAAGCCCCGCATCAGAATCTGTGTTGACAGCTCAGATCGTGGAGCTTGCTTTCGATTCTGTGTCTCACTCTCTCTCTGCCCCTCCCCTGCTTGTGCTCTCTCAAAAAATAAAATTAAAAATATTTTTAAAAAATGCTCACAACCCAGAAAAAAAATTTTAATGTGGTTAAATTTGTTTGACATGTATTTTTATAGTGAAAATATATGAATATATTCTATATTAATGTTGATCATATATGTCAATATTTTATATTGATTATTTATCCTATACCTTTTTCTATTGTCTTTCTCCAGGAAGCAAATAACTTGGATAAAAACACAACCAAAACAGAGAGTGCTTGGCTCTTCAGAATGTGGTACAGCTTTGACCACAAGTATCCTTTGATAATGATGATCTCCCAGATCCTGCTGCCTGCCAGACATTAACTTCAAGCACTTAGTCATTGAGATATATGTTCCTGCTCTTCAAGAAACACAGAAAGGTAAAGTGAATTCACGACCAAATTTATCTAAAAGTGAAAAGCTGAATTAGTCTATACTTAAGTGTTACAAAGAGCTGAAGTGAAATCTCTCAGAGTCAAACGAATTTAGTGTATTCGTGGCAACCTAATATTTCCCTAAATGCCAGATGATAAAATCGTATAGTCCTGAGGACTGATCTGTTGAACTAATTTTACTGTTCTTCCCTTTGCAAAGATCTTACTTCTTGTCAGTTGGCCAGAGTAACAACAAAAATCCTTCACCCTTCTCCCAGAAACCCATTTGTGTGCTCTTGTTTCATGAGGCAAAAACATGGGGTGGGGCAGGGGGCAAAGAGAAGGAGTGGTCTGAGAGGAAGAATGAGTCTGATCACCACATCATAAAATAATGGAAAAGTTTGTTTTCCAGGCAGATTTGAGTAAGCTTTTCTTCATAAAGGCCAATTTTAACATTCTACCAATCAGTGTAAGCATAGTGGCTCCAATACACCTTGCCTTGTGACTGACAGGGCTGAGAAGTGAGGCCTGAAGGGCTTTGCCATTGTGAATTGCAGTAAGTGGTCCATCTCTAATCCCAAGCAAAAGCACCACGGAAGAAAGGAAAGAACTGCACTGAAAATTGAATGTGTTGGGTCTTTGAAGTTAGTTTTCCACAGTCACAAATCCTGCTCCTTTCAGGGAGAAAATGTCAGTCACTGGGTGATTTTAAAGCGCCTAAGCAATGATTAAAACCACAACAGATCAGTGGGAGAGGAGGAAGAATTAAGAACAGCCAAAAGAAATTCAAAGAGTAAGGTGCAAAAGAGGTAAAATGGAAATGGGAGAGGAGGCAAGAGAAATACAGGAAATTCACAGCAGGGAGGGAAGGAAGGCAAATTGGAGGAATGGCTTTGTAAGAAAAAATTATGTAAGAATGAAGAGAAGCCAATTGAAGATTGCAGATATAAGCAAAAGTAAAACAGGTGAGATTTTAAAAAGCAATTCTGCAAAAGTAGAATATTCCAAGAATTACAAAATGGACATGTGCAAAGTAGAGGTTTTTTGAGCCTACAGTTTTGTTTTCCCACAGCCCTTCTCTCTCGGGACAGATAACTTGCCTTGATCAATCTTGAGCCTTTATGGACAGTGTAGGTTTCCACCACTTTAAAAGCACTCGTCTTGGCCATTAACTTCCTCTTGGAGGTTCTGGAATCTCATTAACTACGTAAAGCCTTCCTGGTCTCTCTAAGGCAAGCTGGTTCTTAGCAAGTTATGCGGGTTTATGTTCCAGGTTGATTTCTCATCTGGAAATACAGTTTTCCCCTGCCATTGCTTACAGTATCTGATAACCAAATTTTTAGGAAGTTATAAAAATTTGACTAAAGAATACACAAAAGGCTGCTTGATTATGAAACGAATAAAGTAAGAAAATGTCTTTTTGGGTTCCTGGACCCAATTTTCAAGTCATGCCTCTCACTGGCTACAGATTGGAGGTTCCCATGACCTCCTCCTTGGGTTCAACTAATTTGCTGGAGTGGCTCATGGAACTTAGAGAAACATTTTACTAGCTAGTAAGTATCACCAGTTTATTATAAAAGGATAAGAGATGCAGAGGGCAAGGTATGTGGGAAAGGTTACCTAACTTTCATGCCCTCTCAAAATGCACCACTTTCCCCAAATACCCACATGTTCACCAACCCAGAAGCTCTCTGAACCCTGTCCTTTGGGTGTTTATGGAGGCTTCATTATATAGGCATGACTAATCAAATCACTGGCCATTGGTGATTGAACTCCATTTCTAGCCCCTCTCCCCGCCCCCCAGAGGTGAAGGAGAGGGAAACTGAAATATCCAGCCCTCAGATCACAGATTGGTTCTCCTGGCAAGCAGCCCCCATCCTTATGTGGGGTCCAAATGCCACCTCATTAACATAACAAAGGATACCATTGTTGCTGTAATCACTTAGGAAATTCTTAAAGGCCAAAGACTATATATATATATATATATATATATATATATATATATATATATCTTATTATAAATCATAATAACACAAAATGACAAATCGGAAATGAGATATAAGATGTTTTTGTTCAAATTCTGACAGTGCTGTGAGGAATGCTTTATAATGAAGAAAAGGAGTAAAGTGGGAAAAATAACTTGGAGACCAGAAATGAAAGCGGAGACTCACCCAAAATTTTAGCTTAGAGCGGTGACACTAAATTCAGATGACGTCACAGTTTTTGTCTCACTTTTCACCAGGGGTTTATTTCCATATGATTGCGGACAGACTTGCAAAAACTGGAAGCAGATTTACCCTGTCAGTAGCATCTCTTCTCATGGTAATATGTCCTCCTGTGCATTCATTCTACAAATTGCAGTGCTACCACCACTGCACAAATGTATTTTCACTTAGACAACAAAGTTTTTATATCCTACTTACGCTCTGAATTCATACCCAGAGAGTAGCAAACCAACCAGTTTCCACCTCGTGACCTCTTGAGACATCTGTATTTCCGAAACAAATCATCCACCTGCCATTTATGTTTTTTCTGCTTTTCACCTAGAACACAGGTGATGTGCCCTTTAAATCTCATAGGTAGGCTGTGCCAGCCACCATCAGTGTAGGGATGATCCCCCACCCCAGGATCAAGTGGCCTGGCCTAGGCCAAAAAGAAATTGTTGACAGGCTGAAAGAAACTGACTATGCCGTTTAGAGTTGCTCGAGTTTCATTTCAGTAAAATTGCATCATGCAAATTAGGCATCATAAAGAATCACTGATAAAAGGAAAAGAAGAATAAATAAGACTTCATATGCACCTGTATCAGGACTCTCCAGAGAGACAGAAACAGAACCGATAGGAGTATACACACATGTGCGCACACACACACACATGCATAGATATATATGTACATACACATACATATAAATATATACAAACATATACATACACACATACACATCCATACACACACACGCACACATACATATACATAGATTTATGTCAAGGAATTGGCTAATGTGAATGTGGGGGATGCAAGTCTAAAATTTGTAGGGCAGGCTCTCAGTCTGGAAACTCTCGGGTGGGAGCTAATGGTGCGGTCTTGAGGCAGAATTCTTTGTTCCTTAAGGAAGCCTCAGTTTTGCTCTTATGGTCATCCAACTGTCTACAGGAGGCTCACTCACATTACTGAGGATTATCTCCTTAAAGTCAACTGATCGGTGACTGAGATAGTGACCCATACCCACTGAATAATTGGGTAGTAGAAAAACCAATTTTGGGGTAGTAAATAAAACCAAGCATCACAGTACTCAATTCACATTCAATTTATACCCATAATTCAGACCCTAGAAAAACCCTCTTAATGTACTATTGGTATCAGTAAAACAAGCCCCAGTTGCTCATAGTTTTGTTTTCTTTTTTTACTTTTTCATAGCATAATTCATACACATATACATTTCCATAACATTTTCCCAAAAAAACTACAGGGGAATAAAAATAATAAAAACTAACATTGAGTGAGGACAAATAATGGCCAAACACTGTGTTGGGTGCCTTACATTTATAATACCATTCCACCTCCACAGCTCTGTAGGAGGTTGGAAGGGTCTAGAGAGTATGGTGCAAACCAAATGGATTGCTGATTGTGTTGGCCTTCACTGAAACAACCTGGGCTCCTTTGTTCAAGAGAGTTATTGGAAGCCTATGGTGCCAAAATTGATGGGTAATTAAGATTTCCTTGTGATTCAAGGTGGGCAGCAATTCTGAATCATGCAGTGCAAAGGAGAATTTGAGAAGGGGGAGATGAAAAAGGAAACGATGTTACTGACCACAGATGATTTGCCAGTGGGTACATTATTTCATTTAATCCTCCTAACCACCCATTTCATTTTATTTCATTCTTACAACCACCCTTTTGGAGGTGGAAGAAACAAAGTCTCAGAGAACTTAAAAAAACTTTGTTAAGCTTCCATAGGTAGTGTTGGTTCCATGATTCAAGCCCAGATCTCTCACCATCAGGTCCATCAATATACTTATGTGAACTTTCTCATTGACAACTCTGTATCCATTATATCCCTCACTTTACATGTAAAACCCCATCTAAATATGTTCATTAAGTCACTATTAAAGTGATGAATACATGATGTAGTACAGAGCTCACATCTCAAATACCTGTTGAAGATACATGCGATGATAAAGTTAGGAATCTTGATTGGTCACCCTAAGAACAGCACCATAAAGGAGTCCCCCGGTTTCTGGGTCAGGTCTTCAACTTTTCAGGGGCAGAACGTTAAATATGCCAAAAACTCCAAGAATGGTTTAGGTTCATAGAAATGGATGCACCTTAGCCAGGTTCAAAGGAGGTACAAGAGCCAGACACCAAATTGCTAAGTCATGATCTGTATCCTCATGGGGAGAAATGTCCTTTCCCAGCTGTGGGAAGGTTCAAGTCACAATCTGGTTTCTAGTGGCCCTCTGGACCCACCTCTTACTCTTGCTCCCTGGCTCACTATGCTCCAGCCACTCTGGCCTTCCTGAGATGCATCTAGCACATTCCTGCTTCCAGGCCTTTGCACTGACTCTTCCCTCAGACATTCATATGCTTCCCTCCTTCACTCTTTTATTCAAATTGTCAGTGAGACTTTCTGGCTCCATATTTAAATTAGTGATCCCAACAGGAGCGCTCCGTCATCCCTTATTGTTTCATTCTTCACCGTAACACTTATCACCATCTGACACAGTATGTATTTTATTCATTTGTTTCAATAGTCTCCTCCAACCAGGTTATGTGCTTTCTTCAAACAGGTATTTGGGTCTGTTCTTACTCACTAGTGTGTTCTCAGGGCATAGAACAGTGCCTAGCACATAGTGGACACTCAGTAAATATTTGTGGAATGAATGAATAAATGAATGAA